TGTGTTTTAAAAAGGCATTGAGTTTCTTCTAAGCATTTATTAGTTACAGCCCCAAATGAAAGTTTTGAGAAATGATGATGGTTTGAACTTGGGTTGTTGTAGATTTGCTTTTCAGTAGGGTTGATTCCTGGTTTATTTGTTTGGGTTTTTTTTTTTTTTTGGTGTTAGTAAAAGGTGTAGTGGTTACCAAGATTGGTCAGACTGCAAAGAGGGAGCAGATTATGTGATTATGTTAGAGTACAATCAGATGTTAATTTTTACTTGTTAAATTTGAGATGATATTTCCAGGTAAGGATGTTAAGTGGGCAGTTGATTTTTTTGAGTAGGGATATGAGGTTCCAGATAAGGACTTGAGGTGAAGATTGATGAGGTAGAGGCATATAGGTCACATTTTGAAGCCTGTACTGTATAAACCCTTTTTGAAGAGAGCTGCAGATAGAGTTGAATGCCCAGGACCTGATCTTTAGGTTCTTATACATCTTGAAGCTGGGCAAAGGAGTTTGTACTATTACTGGAAAGCTTAGTCAGGATGCTTGATGACAATGATTGATGATACAGTGAGGTTTAATATAACCTAAGAAAAGTATTCCAAGAGGAAAACAAAACAAAAAAAACAAAAACAAAAAAAAACACCACTGTTTCCTGCTGTTTGAGGTCAGAGAAGATGCAGTTGGATTTAGCATCTGGTAGTCATTGTTGACCTTGACAAGAACAGGCTCAGTAGGAAGGTAGCTCTAGAGAGGATCAGAATTAGTTGATGTCTTTGTTCAGTCACAGAGGAAAATGTGAATTCTTCACCATTATACTGGTTATAGAAAGCACTAAACCTTACCAGTCAATATCTCTCAGTTCTGCAGTTGTCATGACACATAAAGTCCAGTGGTCTATATACCAAGTCAAATTAGCATTTTTAAATGTTGATCATTATATAACTAAAAAACAAACAGGCCCAAATATTTTACTAGCATGAAATTTTATATGGGTTTATAATTTCAAACATTTATTACCCCTTTTGCTTTTAAAACTAAAGTGTTTTTTTTTTGTTGTTGTTGTTGTTATTTTTTTAGTTAGTGTTACCTCTTTTATGTGTAGTGACTTTTCAGAATACTTCTAGGGTTACAGTTTTATTTTCATTACACTAGAACAGGCATTTTCACTCTCCATTAACAAAAGAATAAACAGAGACAATGATTTAAAAAATTAGTCTCTGGGCTGGTGAGATGGCTCAGTGGATAAAGGTGTTGGCTGCCAAGTTTGACAAGCTGAATCTAATCCCAAATTATCCTCTGACCTCCACATGTGCGCACACACACAAATCATTAACAAAAAACCCTTTAAAAAGCCCCACCAAATCATTAAGTGAAAGGCAGGTAAGATTAGTGGTTAAGAGGAACTTGGTTTAAGAAACTAATTTAGTCGGGTGGTGCACACCTTTAATCCCAGCACTTGAGAGGCAGAGACAGGTGGATCTCTGTGAGTTCCAGCACAGCCAGGGCTGTTACGAAGAAAAACTCTGCCTTGAACACCCCCACCAAAAGAAGCTAATTTAACATCCTCCAAAAGTTTATTTAGTTCTAATTTGGAGAGGGAGTGTGGTAAATAGATGTCTTTATATACTTACTGTGTCTTTTAGAAAACAGTTAACCTCAAAAAAGCTAATCCTGGCTTTGAAAATCTTTTCTGTAAACTCACTGTGCAGCTGACCCACCTCCATACATTGATGGGATTCGGATCAACAGCCCTCATTATCTGACTAAGATAAAGCTGACCACACCTGGAACTCACACCTTTACTTTAGTGGTTTCTCAGTATGAAAAACAGAACACAATTCATTACACAGTCCGGGTAAGAAATTCACCAACTATGAAACCAACCATGTAGTGACAAAGCACCATAATACAGAGTCTGTGGCATATTCTGCTTTTCATGTGGAACTATTTGAAGATTTTTGAGATAGGGTCTTGCTGTGTATGGCCTTGAATTCACAAATGTGATCTCAGCTTCTAGAGTGCTAGGGGATAAAATTTTTTTTCTGAAAATAATTTTGTTTTTGTATGCTTATTAAATAATTATGCTCCTGTAAAAATGTGAGTTGTACTTTACTATGAATACCATTTTGAATGAATACATATATATTCATAGTAATGATTTATTCCTGAAATAACGTGGTATATTAGATTAATAAATGCAATTAAATGACAACTTTCAAAGGGCATGGTGGTGGCGGCACACACCTGTAATCCCAGAGGCAAGAGGATCTTAAGTTCAAACCAAGCTTGAGACCTTGTCTTAAAGCCTCCCAAAAACAAAAACAATTTTGAACTGTTTGTATTTACCTATACCGCTCATATTGCTGCAAAGTTCATTGTTATTTTGTTGTACATAGATTTGTCACATAAATTCAATCTGAATAGATTTTTAATGATAAGAGACACTGGGAGCTTTGTTCTTCAGTCACAGAAATCAAGGCCTGGCAAAATTGTCCTAAGTCATATACAGTGACTGACAGACAGGATGCTATTTGCTTAAGTCTGACTTGATCCCAACTAGTATTTTAGCTGTAGGATAGCTCACTTTATAAGTTTCTAAGTTTCTCAGAATAATTTTTGGTGGACCTTGCCATTTTTTTAAATCTAGGTATATTCAGCATGCAGCTTTACTTTTTCGAAGATCCCTTCACCATACACCTTATCAAAACGGGTAAGAAAGTCTGTGGGTTGTAATCTCACTCACTGTTCTTTTTAGCCTTTTAGAAACCCATTTCCTTTCCCACTCCCATTAAAACACTTGCTGGGATTTTACAGAAATACAAGGGAAAAATGTGTTTGCCTATTTTGGTTAGAAGATCATCAGTGGCCAATATTGTTTCTGTGGGAATAGAAAACAAGTAATTCTAGAGAAAAGATTAGTATAACCTTGCTTGTTAGAAGCCCACTTACATGAACTCAAAGAGAATTTGAGAATAGCTTACAGTGTGGGTAAAATAAATGTGCAGAAGTTTCTAGGAAGAATCCTTGGTAGGGAGAACAATTTAATAATTGAGTGAGAGATGGAGTATAGTCAAGCAGCCTGGCTAAATAAAGACTTGGACTGTCAGTGACAAAGGCTGGAGAAGCAAATTCAAACCATGATGCAATCAAGAGTGTGAAATTTTGTTAAGACAAACTTTATTTTATAGATTAATGGAAAGTGGAGTGGTCAGAGTGCTGGAGGATGTGGAAATTTTCAGGAGACTCACAAAAATAACCCCATCTACCAATTCCATGTAGATAAGACTGGACCATTACTGATTGAACTGAGAGGACCAAGGTTTGTGATGAGTAGCTGCCTTGTTTTCTTTTTGTGCTAAAGATTGAACCTAGGGCCTTGTTCGTGTATGCTTGGCAACCACTCTAACACTGAGCTATATCCTCATTAACTTAAAATCCTTAGTTTTAAGATAATGAAGATATATTAAAACTGACTTTAAAGGAACAAAGTTTGGAAACAAATCTGTGCAAACATAGGCAAAGGATTTATGGTAACAATGGTAATATAGAGAGGTCAGCCTTTATAGTAAGTGGTATGGAATTCAGTATCCATGTTAATAGTAATTTAACCTATCTCACACCATGCCTAAAAATCACTTCTAGATTACAGACTAAATGTTAAAAGTAAACAGTAACTTCTAGAATACAGAATGTCTGGTATGAAATACAGTTCATTTTTTGGGGGGGGGTGAATAAATGAGTCTTGGAATGCTATATGGGCCATATAATAATTATTCTGTTATTTAGATTTTATTACAGTGCTTTCTTCTGTTCTGTAGGGTTTTCTGTCAATTACATTGACAATATTTCATTTAGAAATTTATGTTATATTATTCCCTGGGGAGCCTGTAGTTAAAAAAAAAAAAAAAAAAAGTGTAGCTTAGAGTGCTGGCACAATGCCTTTAATTCCAGCACTCAGGTGGCAGAGGTAAAGAGATCTCTGAATTTAAGGCCAGTTTGACCTACATAGTTCTGGGACAGTCAGAGCTACTTACTGAGACCCTGTCTCACAAAGCAAAATGTCTGTTTTAAGTTAAGTTTGATGCATTATTAATCTTTATGGATTCAATTTCAAAACTAAACAAATTGTCAATAAAAATAGTATATAGTTTTAGAATACTGTTTCCTCTTGGTAAAAATTGAAGCATATACATACTTTAATAGTTCACCATATTTTATAATATTTGATAGTTAACTAATACAGTGGTGCTGTTTAATACTAGGCAATACAGTGTTGGATTTGAGGTTGTAGCAGTTTCCATAATAGGAGATCCTGGTCCTCATGGCTTTCAGAGGAAATCTAGTGGTGACTATAGGTAAGTTGGCATTTTGTTTGTGTTCATTGTATATACTTTGTGACATGACAGTCTGTAAACCTTATTCTCATTTTCCCCGAATATAGGTGTGGATTTTGCTACTTAGAATTGGAAAACATACCTGCTGGGATCTTCAATATCATCCCCAGTACTTTTTTGCCTAAACAAGAAGGGCCTTTTTTCTTGGACTTTAATAGTACTGTCCCCATCAAGACAACACAACTCCAATGACAGAGAACCCTCAGCTATTACTGGATTCCATACTTGGAAGTCTTCAACTCTTTAGACAGAGGCAAATCATGATGGTGAATGACGGTGAACCGTCAGAATGGAATTCAGTCAGAAACAGATCACAGTGGAATCTGGTACTTGTCATGGTGTTTGGTAAGAATTGTACATAGTCAGAATTACCTTAATCACCTAAAGGACTGTTTACATGGTTTTGCGCATACAGAGTTGGCATGTATTTAGGGGCTGCTTTGTATAAAAAATTATATATGATTACAGATTAGAGTCAGCTATCACTGTGAGATGCTTTTGATAACAGGACAAAGTAACTGAAAAAGATTAGAACAATGAGGGTCACAGATCCACTGAATGCAAGAGCAGGCTATTTTAGTATCTTGAAATATTTACATGTTTCCCGTTTTTAAAAACAGAGCACGTAAGTTTAACCTGTTCATGTTGAACTCCACCATACATCTTAGGCAACTAATTACCAAATGAATGTCATTGTAATTAGTTTGAATTTTTTATTGTGTCTTTAAATGTTTATTGTTGCCTAGATGTTATGAGAGAATAAAGCTTTAAAAAGTACCATTTAGCTTAGCATGAAGATGCTCAGGCTTAAGAATGAAGGTTGTCAGTGTTAGATATATCATCCATTGTGGAGAGAACAGAGGTATAGTTTACTGTTGCCATTTTTTTAATTCTTAGCAGGTTGGTGAATGTAGTGATCTGAGACTGGAAATGTTAAAGTTTAGTGTGTAGAGTTTTTAAATTGCTCTGTAGTTGGTGCTTTCATAACAAGGATTTGGAGAGTCCTTGTGAATCTGGTATGTGGTGATCGAGTTATACAGCATTCATAAAAAGTGAGTTGCCAGGAATTAGTGTTGTGTAAATTCCCATTTGTTTACATAAAAATTATTAGTACAGAATGATGCTCAAGATTTATAGGTTGGGATCTTGTCGCTGTCTCTACTTTATAATTACCAAAACTATTTCTACTGCCTTTAATTGAAATAAAATATTTATACTTATGGAAGGTATGTTTCAAGGATAGCTTTTAATTCAGTAGTTGGAAGATTTTCATCAGTGAGATTCCACTTGGCCATATAAACCCGAAATATAGTAGAAGGCTTAGAGGCAGCTCAGTATTACAACACTTGGCTTAGCATGTCCAAGGCCCTGGGTTCAATCCCCAGCAGCACAAAAACAAATAAACAGTGTTGGACCCTGTAATCAAGCTCTGTGGAGAGTCTACAAGTGTACAGGTAAGGCTGGACCAAACACACACACACACACACACACACTTCAAGAAGTGCCATTTGAACTTGAAGCTCCAAATACAGAATAGAAAAGTAGCCAGGAGTTACTTTTTACTATGAACGTACTCATTGTGCATACTTTTTTTTAATCTTCCCAGTTGCTAAATCAAGTATAATCAGTATTACTTCTTTTTATAGCTGGGTAAAGAAACTGGAAGATCACAAGCCTGTAGCTCAGCTGCTTTGCATGTGGGGACAGCAGGCTGGAATTGGTAGTTGGAATTGACATTTGGATCAGAAGCACAATGGTGGAACAGATTTTTTAAAAAAGGGAAAAATTAGAGATTGCTAGAAGAGAGGAGGGGTTGGCTCAGGTATCTAATTTCAGTATACACATAGATGCTCAGACTCAAAGAATGGACTTTCCCCTTGACACAGTAAAGAAAATTATCCAGAAGAGGTTGAATTCTAGAATTAGTAGTACATGGTTCGTGGTCACCTGAAAAAAGAGGGCCCAAAACTGAAACTGAGGTTATGGGAGAGTAAAGTCAAAAGGACAGTGAATTGCAAGAAGGCCATGGTGACATGAGTGGCCCTGCTGTATTGGAAATATGAGGAAGTGATGTGAGACAGGAACCAAGTCAAAGGTTGTGCATTCCCAGACCGATGGGATAGGGAACCGAGGCAAGAGGCCAGATTATGAAGCCCTATGCTCAAGTAAGGGATATGGTGCTAAGCTCCCCACACAAGAAAACCCCATCTTCTGTTCCTTGCTGTAAATGCTCACGAGATTTTATTGTGAGGAACAACATTCAGGGTGACAGATATGTGGCCCAGAAATCCCCCATGGTGGATCCTGAACATTAGACTACACAACTTAACCTCACTAACGTTGATAGGAAGGAGAATAAGCAAAGTCTCAGCTGCAGGGAAACAGAGAAGTTGAAAGAGACTTCCAGCAACTGAGAATATTAATAGGTAACACTAACTAGGCACTTGTTCCACAACACATTTCAGTATGCAGCATATACATTAAAATCTGTGCCCAAGTGTACCACAGATTAAATCAGGCTGACAGATGAAACCATATTGCAGGATGTTAGGCCCCTACCCCAGGAGACTAACTACACTGACCAGTGAAGCTGTGGCTGCCTGTTTGTCTCTCCTCAGTGTTTACCTGTGCAACACCAAGAGTGGCATTTGAATCCAGACCTTGGGATTGAGTTAACATTACCAGGATTATCACTTTATCTGAAAATGACATTGATTTTTTGAGACAGGGTTTCCACTTGCCTCTGCCTCCTCAGTGCTGGGACTAAACACATGTGCCACCAATGCCGGATGGTCTTTCTTAAAACGACAGCATTTCCCAGAGTAAGACAACAGTGGGTTTTCTCATCTGAAGTCACAAAGTTTTCTTAGTTTTTATTACCCTCAAGGTATTAAAACAAGTACAAAATAACCTTGTAATTAGGATACTGTATTCATCAATAAAAAAAGAAGAAACCACTGTTGTATGAAGCTATACACACATGGCTAAAATATACAAGCTGTGACAGAATTAAGAGACAATTTGAAATGGGGAGGGGTGCTTTTTTCATTAGAAAAGCCAAATTAATGGAATAGGACAAATACAATACAGAGCCCTAATTATGCATAACCATAAACACTAAGTCTAAATACACTACTATTATCATGACATCTGTTGCTTCTATTTACCTGCCCTTCTATTTACTGTCCCTTTAAAGGGACAGTTTCCTCTAAGGAATACTAGGTGCAGCATAAACCTTAAATAATCGCAATTAATGTAGAAGTTACAGCCTACAGAGAAATTAACTTCTTGTCAATCTAGATAGAACAGTGGCAACCATTCTTCACATGCACTTGTCTTAGAATAAACCCCCCTTGGCTGTCAGGCTAAGGTCAGGCTATAGAACCTCCCACAGCCACAAATCCCCTCTATGCTATGTCCTTGCTACCTCATTACCCATCCCCACATTGGCATTCATTCACCTTTCCCACCCCCCAAAAGTGCAGTTAATGGTAGCTTTCCTAGGAAATGGTTTTAATGGGTGTCCCAGAAGACATGCTTTTTAAAAAATCCCCCTCTGAGCACCAGAGGTGATAAAGATGAATTGTGTTCTTGGCATTATTTTTAAGCTTTCTCTTTGTGTTTGTGTGAGTTTTAAAATTATTTTGGTGCTCTGTGATATTATAATGGAAAAAACTTCTCAGTTTCCCCAAATAGAGGGGAAAGAGGTGGATAGAGATGGAGGCTGGTGACCCCAGTCTGGCTAACTGCCCTGTTCTCCTCCAGGCTCGGGTTCTTTCACAGAAACTAGTTATTGCTCCACACTGCTGCCACAGGGAATGTTCTGCAAAGGCTGTGACCCTGGTCACAATTTACCTGCAATGGCTTTGCTCTGAAAAACACACCAGCCCAAGAGCTCTTATCAGAGGGAAATTCTTCAGCCCTCAAGGTCACTGAAACTTGGTTAGTGCAGTTTAGAGTAAATGCATACACTATTTGGCTTATGTTAGATTGATTATTGGCACGATGTTTCTAGAGTTTCATGTATAAATGTGATGTGCCCATGGGCCATAGCCCTGGGTGGATCAGCCAATCTGCACCGTTTTTATGTCAGCAATAATCCCATCTCTTCCTTTTGAGCACTGTAGGGAGAGTTGCTTCATACGGGTCTCCAAGGCCTGTCCCTCAAGGGATGTGCTGCTTTGGCTCCTGTCCCTGCCACCACCACTGTTGATGTTGCTGAGAATGCGGTTGTTGTTGGCTTTGTCACTCGTTTTATTCTCAGCCCCTTCTGCTCTGTCTCCTGTAGAGATACAAAGGTTGCCAAATGGGAGCTGACAGTTCCAAGAGTTCCACAGGCACTGGCGTCAGCAGCCTGAGCCCTCTACAGTTCCAGTTCCCACTGTCACCCACCATGCATCTCAGGGTTCTCCAGCACTGGATGACATACTGCAGTTACTCCTTAGCATGTTATCTTTAGAGATGAGATTTACCATCCTCGTTTTGTAGCTAGGAATCAAACCTGCCAAGAGGACTGTTCTAAGGAGAGGCATGGACCTAAGTTCTATGTGAGTGAAGCTGGCCAGGCAGAGTACCCAGGGGCCCCAGAAACACCGTAGCAAAGATATAGACAGTCCACAAGCTGGGCTACTACTTACCTCGTTCCACTTCACATTCAGGAGAGGAGGCCCCACTGCATTCACTTCGAGGGCCCAGTATTGGAAACATAATTCCAAATTCAGACAGGGACACGGGGCTGGGCAGATCCAAGCTGCCAGGCCTTGCCACTGCAGGGAACTGGTCAGGCATTTCAGATGGACTTGTTGGCCCTGAACTAAAGCTGGATACAGACTGGGTTTCTGAGTCATCTTCAGACACTAAGTTGCTGCAGTTGTCATCTTCAAAGGCTTCAGAAGCCACTATGGTGAGAGAGAATATCAGTCACATGGAGTCTGCTAAGTAGTACCCCAGCATGGATCTGTGGGGCCTACAACCTTCGTGAGCCCTCTGACCAGCCTCCAGGGCATTTTGAAAGGAAGCAGCAGCTAGCTCCTGTGGAAAGTCAGTGTTCTAGAGGAACTTAACTCCTGCTCTATAATTCTATGCCAGCAAGTGCTACCTAGAGAAAGGATGGCTAGGGTAGAGCGCATGGCTAGTATACACAAAGGCCTGGTTTCCATCCCCAGCACTAAAGGAAAGGGAAGGTAGATAAATTTAAACACTAGGCCTTTGTAATGTGTCCTACACAGAGGCAATCTTACAATGAAGACTGAAGGTCTTCCTTCTGGCATAAGCATCCAAGAGCTGCTGGAATGTCTATAGTATCTTCTGATCTAATAAGACACCCTCAAAGTCTGCCTAGACCACTGTTTGCAACAAAGAACAACATTCATTCTCAATGCTCTGATTGTGCTTGAGTCTGTGGGCCAGAAAAAGCACACACATTCTCACTTTTATGATCCTTCTTAGTTCCCTTTACTCCTATGGCATCTTTAAAAATGGCCGCCTAGCATTCCAGAGAGGATTGTTATATGTACTATACTGCTTCAGATAGACTGAATGAATTTTGACTGTGTGGCCTTGTCAAGCAACTCGACTGCCCAAATGCTCTATGGATAGGATTAATAAAGTGGTATATAAAATAACTCACTCATAGCCACTGATTACATTGTAGTTTCATTTCCCTTCAACCTGGCAATTCAGCATTTGTTGATGGCCTTCAAGAATTGCTGAGGATAGGGCTTGAGATGGCTCAGTGGTTAAGAGCACTTGCTGCTCTTCCAGAGGACCCAGGTTTGATTCCCAACACCCGCATAGAAGCTCACAACTGCCTGCAATTCCAGAGGATCCGACATTCTCATCTAACACCAGACAAGCATGTGATACACACAGATACATGTAGGGAAAACACTCATACACATAAATTATTTTTAAAAAGAATTTCTGAGGACGGAGCCTAAAAGAGCCACAGTGGACTGTTCCACAGGAAAAGAAAAGCAGTGAAGTGTTGAGTGTCACAGTCAGTCCTCTATCCTGTCTGCAGAGGATGTTCCTGGACAGAAGAGATCATGTGGTCAGACTCCAGGGGGACCTGCCAGCGGTCACTTCTCACAACCCTCCTTACCAACCTACACAGCATAGGAGACACTGTCCCCATCACACAGCTGAAGCTAACACATGGAGGCCCACTAGCCCACATGCAGTGGTAAAGTGGGGTCTGAATCAAATCTGGGTCCCAAGTCCTTTTAAACCTTTCCTCAGAACTTTTTAAAGTCTTGAATGTTCTGATGTGTGCTTAGATTCTTTAAGAGGGTGGAAGTAGAGCATTTTCCAAACTTACTTGACCACAGAATGCTAACATGTAGTAGCAAGCCAATGAACAGTGTCCCACAAACCACGAGAAACCATGGAACAGCCTGCAGGGCTGTCCAACTCTCCAATTCATTGATGGGCAAAGGATAGGGTCTATGGGGCAAGATGGCCCTGAAAACAGATCACATATGTTGTGTGACCCCTGCTGGAGAGACTCACCAGAAATGGCATCAGGCTCAGGTTTGTTCCCAGGTAGTTTCTCTACTGATGTGATGCTGCCCTCAGCCCCAACGCCACAGCCCCGAGGACCCATGGCATTGGAGCGCCGCCGCTCATGTATCTCATCTGAGATCCTCTCCAGGCTCTTCAGGGCTGCCTTGTACTCGCCTTTTGCCAGGGCCAGCTTGGCCTGAAGGTCATCCACTGTCTTCTTCAGTTGCTGATGGGAAGATGGAGGACCTGATAAGCCATAGTGGCTCTGTATGTCCCCATTGAGAGAGGGGCTTCACATGATTACAACACAGAACTTCCTACAACACCTGGCATGATAATGATGGTTAGGAGAATCCAATTACTTTCATCATGGCTACCCATTCACTGTAAAGAAAATCATTACATCTGTCAACACCAGTCCATGTGACAGACAAGAATATGCAGACGTGGTTATTAAAAGAATGTAGCCCTTCAGGAAGGAACAGTAGTCACGTAAGTCCTGTAGCCTTCTCACTTGGTCCCAGACAGAAGTTCTTGGCCCTGTATCTGAATCACCTGTAGGGCCACTTACAACAGACTGCTGACCCAACCCCTAAAAGTTCTGACAATAAGTTGGAGAGCCTGGGAACTCTACTACCAAAAAGTTTCCAGGTCTTCTTATTTTGGGAGCTCACACTGAGACCTAATAAATTAGTGCAATTCAGCGAGCAAATGGCAACAGCTCCAAACAACATATGACAATGAAGACTCTGAGAACTAAGGCCTAGGAATGTGTTTCTCCATTCTCCTCTCACAGCACATGGGTCATCTGAAGGTGTGCTACCACACTAAAGTTGAGTTTTTAGTGTAGGAAGGGGTAGAGAACAAAACAGTGGCAAATCCAAGGTCACACATACCTCAAGCTGCACGTAGTACTTTGCCTTGAGTTCAAAATAAGGCCTGCAGAAGACAGGAAAAAAAATGTAAGGATAGGATCTCATGGTGAACCTTTAGCTAGTTGGGCCATTCAGGATTTAGGCCATGACAGTAATACAGACACCAGCAGACCTACTGGCTCACCCAAAGCCTCAATAGATACATAAGTGCATAGCCCTCACTCCCATCTCAAGATTTTGGAAACCTTGCATCCTGGTTCATTTTACTCCAGGGAGACTGCTTGGGCCTACTGACCAATAAAGAAAGATAGGCTGAGAAACAGGTGCTAAAAACATTTCTTCTGCCTAGGCCAACTATGGAAGGAAGCAATACCACTTGCTGTCAGCTGGACACAGCAGGACTTTAACCAAGTCTTTAACACAGCCAAGTCTTTAACCTCAAGTATAGGGGTCAAGGCTAGGTGTTAGTGAAGCAATCATGTTACAAGCAAGGAAAAAGTCAAGTCCCCTGGGCTTGGCAGCTTTGGTGTCTGAGCGGTTTCTCCTCCATCAAATTTTCCTTCCTAAGTCCATGCCAGGCAGTGGTGGCACACACTTTTAATCCCAGCACTTAGGAGGCAGAGGCAGGTGGATCTCTGTAAGTCTGTGAGTTTGAGGTCAGCCTGGTCTACAAGAGTTCGTTCCAAGAAAGAGTCCTGTATCTACTTGCTGATGATAACACATTGCAGGACCTCTAGTTCGTAAGGAAAATCTGAGACGTGGGCATAAGGTCCTTTTTGTGGCCAAATGGAGTGGATATCAGCCCAGCCAAGGTGTAGAGGAAATGTGGTAAGTGTCTGAGATGTCCAGGTAAAAGAAATGTGACCACGAATGTCAAACACGGAGAACAAGGAAAGGGAGTGTGACCACAACAGGGGAAGGAAGAGCGGGACCCACCGAGCCCCTAAAGTCGTTCCATGGGAGGTACAGACTGCCATCCAGTCTTACAGGCAGACACCAGTCATCCAGTGGTATCTGCGGAGGTTGGCAGAGTGACCACGGGGAGGTCCTTAGTGATGAGTGTGGGCAGGTCAAGTGTGAGAGAAGTGTACAGAGGGCACCAGGGACTTTAAACTCAACAATGTATTCACACCAAACAAAGCAAGCAGCATGGAAGGCTTCTCCCTCAGCGATGGGGGAGGGGAGGGGTTTCCAGGAACCCTCACCACCTCTCCCAGCTGTGTCCCCCCCCAGAGGAGAACACACACACACACACACACACACACACACACACACACACACACGCACGCGCGCGAACATGAGGGAGCAGGCAGCAATCAGAAGGCAAGCCCAGTAGAAGACATGGGGTAGAGCAGAGCAGAGAGGATCAACCTCTTCCTTTAGTAACTTCTCTTATTTACCCAGCACACTCTCACCTGAACACAGGTTCTCTGTCAAGGTTCTAGCTGCCCAGTCCCAGGAGGAGCAGACAATAGTTTAAACACATACTTTCTGACCCAGTTCTGACTCACTGTTGGGTCCTTTTTCTTTGGAGGCCCAGTGAATGAAGCTGGGACCCTGTCTCCACAGTCATGTTTTCCCACTATGATTGTTACTTTGTGAACATACAGAGGGAAACTAGGGAGGAGGGGTACTAGGGGGGAGGGGTACTAGGGAGAAGAACTGGGGGAAAGCACCACTGACCAATCTTGCAGCATTTCATTGGCTCTTTATCCACAGAGACCAGGAATGATGAGCAGAACTCACCACTACTATGCTGACAGGTAAACTGAGGGCAGGGCCTTGTCCAGTCTACACCATCAGCTACAAGCTGGGAGTACAAGCCGAGTTCCCCAAAGCATAGCCTACGGGCCAGATAATGGTTTGCTTTGAAAATTCCTTTTCCTGTGTCACCCATGAAAGTTGGATCTGGAACAATTCTTGTGCCTCCTGCCAGCATCCTTGCCCATGGCAGCATCGACAGGGTAGTATGGGGGTGGGGCACAGGGCGCTAGGCAAGGAGCTTCAGGGAAGGGTGTGCCAGACTTACTTGGATTTGTTGATAGCTCGTTTGAGTTTCTTCTCCAGCTGACGCATACGGCCCATGGCAGCATTGTACCTGGCTGCTGTCTCCTTGTGTACCAGTTCGCTCCTTGTCTTGGTCTGCTCGGCCTCCATGACCTTTCAAACAACAGCAAAGGCCAGCCTGGTCAAGCCCAGAACAGCTCCTGGCTGGCATACTGCTTATACTCATGTCATTTAAAAAACAAAAAGAGGTTTCTTGGGTAAATCTACAGGAAGATTAAGATTAAATTTACTACTGAAGCATCTCTCCAGCCCACCAGGGGGCTTTGCAATGTTTGGCAGTATTTTATTGTTTTTCTTTTGTCAGCCCACCAGGGGGCTTTGCAATGTTTGGCAGTATTTTATTGTTTTTCTTTTGTTTTTGAGACAGGGTCTTACTATGTAGCTCTCTAGCTGGCCTGCAACTCAATTTGTAGCACCAGCTGACCTTGAATTTTCAAAGATCCATCTGTCTCAGCCCCTTGACTGCTGGGATGAATGGTAGGTACCACATGTCTGGCTCTGGCCTGTATTTTATACTGTGATCCTCTTTTGCAAAAGCCTGTTCAATAACATACCCAAGTTGTCTATAGCAGTGACTAGGAAATAAAATCAAAAGGTAAAAATCTTGAGAAATTTGTGAAATACCCAGATTCAACCAATATCTATTTAGTAAGAGGTCTTAGGAACATGGTTTAATAGTGATGTATCAAGCTAACAAGGAGCCAATGGTGCTGGTTAATTTTTGTCTGCTTGACTTAAGATGGAGTTACTTGGGAAGGAGTGACTCCCTCAGACTAAGCTGTGGGGTCATTTTTCTTTCTTTCTTTCTTTTTTTTTTTTTGACTAATGACTCAGTCCAATTACTTGAATCCAAATATTAGGAGCTAGTATAACATAATAATTTCCTCTTTTATCAGGTCAAATGTATGCCATGATAATATTTTTATGCTTGTGGAATAATTATACTTCCACCTATTATAATGTGTGTGTTTTATAAAGGTATAATAATTTCTAAGGAAAAGAGAAAAGATTGGGCTGCAGTGAGGCAACATGCTGACTAAAGTGATTCCTTAGGAGTTAGAGAATTATTCCCTTTTTTATTTCTAACACAAATATCTCAGAATGAAACAAATACACTATAAAAGTATCTCATGTGTGACACTTGGGGAAACAGCAGTAACTCCAGTCTAGTCTTGAATCTTAAGTGTTAAATGAGTTGACGACGACGATGATGATGATTATATTATTATTTTAGGTTTTTGAGACAGGGTTTTTCTGTGCAACAGCGCTGACTGTCTGGAAACTTACTTGGTATACCAAGCTGACCTTAAACTCAGAGATCCTGCCTCTGCCTCCTGAATATTGAGATAAAAGGTGTGCGCTACCACCGCCACCACTGGGATGGGTTCTTAACGAATTATTGACCTAACTTTTGTGAAAACTGAAAACTCCATGCTTCTCATACAGCACATCAGAGATGACTGGTTCTTTTTACAGGGAGCTCTGTACAGAACTAAATGGATCCACTTGAAGTAGATGCAACTGGAAAGCTGCTGAACAGAAAGTGTCTCTCGGGAGAAGCAAGCTCTCCCCAGCTGTACACAGGCCCTCATTCCACCTCAGTCCCCAGGCTGCAAACAAGCAAAGGCTGTCTAAACTTAAGCACCCAAATGCCCCAAGCACTTGGCTATACTGCCGGCCATGCCTTCAGAGGTGACACACTTTTACCTCACCCTGCACTATTTGCCTCATCGCTATACTTCATCTGCATCTTGCCCCAGGTCCCTACATCCCATTTGCCACGGCCATGGCATGACCACACAGGGCACAAACAAGATGGGCAATGGTGCTCTCATTGCTCTATGCCCTTCTCTGAACTCGAAGGCCAAACTCGGCTCAATGAGACGACTGTCTAAGATGAAAGAGGTCGTCTCCTTCATTCAGGTGATTTAGAATATTCTCCCAACATGGGCCTTGTCCTGGGGCCCATCCACAGCCTCTCTAACCTGAAACATCCACCCAGGCAGAAGGGGGGCTTTTCCACCTCTCACAGCCTCACCAAATAGCTCCAGACTGTTTCCTCTACACTAAGGAGGGGGGCATAAGACGGCCCCTGACCCCTTTAAGCCGTCTTTCAGGCAGTGACTTTTCGTCCATCCCAGCCTTCATGGCCACGCTGGAAGCTTGGAGGAGAGGCTGGCCACGCCCTGTCCTGTCCTCTCCAGGGGCCCCTGCTGCCAGCTCATCAACAAGGACTGCCTTCCTGTGTCCAAGCCACATTTCCCTCTCCCTCCATCTGGTCTTCTGTAGCAGACATCAGAAAAGCCAATTCCTCCCTGCCAGGTTGCCGGCACTCCAGTCTTGGGAGAATTGAAAGCCATTGCTTTCCCCAAAAGACTGTTTCAAGATCAAAGCAGCCAAGGGCTGGAGATGCCTCTGCTGTCAGACCTCCCTCTGGTGCTGAGAAATGGCAGACACAGCCGTGTGCCCCAAGGGAAGTTGCTCAGCTGCAGGCTGAGCAGGAACCACCTAGCCAAGAACTGTCCCTATGATGTCTGTGATGTTACATGTGACCACTAGAGAGTATCGGGGCTCCTCACATCTAGGGTGTTAGCTTCTGCTAAAGCTTCAAGTACAGCCATCAAATGTTATAAGAAGCTCCATTCCCCTAACGAAACAGGCTTTCTGGCATCTTCATAAGTCAGCCAGTCCCTGCAAGGTAGCCCAGCATGCTAGCCCCATGAGGCCTGGGAAATGGTCCACAGGAGTCCCACTGGGAGAAATGCTCACCTCAGACAGAGGGTCACAGTCACGCATGCTATTTCAGAACCAAACATGAGCATCTGGACTTTAGGGAAGACTGGGTCTATATTATCCTGCAGGCTGAGGTTGGGAACAGTGCATAGTGAGGTAGGGGAAAGGTCATGGTCTTGAGAACACTTTTATCTTTTTTCCCTGTTACCAGGGATGGATTTGGATTCTTACAGGCTAAGGGCAAGCACTTACAAACTGAGCCATCTTCTCAGTGGGGAAATCACTACTACCAGTTCAAGGTGATTCATCCTAGGGCTATGCAACCATGATGGGAAAAAAAAAAAAAAAAAAAAAAAAGGAAACAACACTACCCATCATGATGGGAAGGCCTGGCCTGTGACCCAGAACTCCCCACCGATTCACACAGGTTGCTGCCACCATAACCACATGAACCAGATGCCTGGTCCTTTGTTTTGGTGGCCAGAGGGCACACACACATCAGGTGGTCCAAGGGGCCACTATGAGGCCCCAACTGACCTGAGGAGGTCTGAAGCTACCTTGTAAAGTTCCACAGACTGTTTTACTCAAACCCTGGAACACTGTTTCCAAAGGCTAAGCGTGTGGTGCCTTGTGGACAGTGTGGGGGTCTCAGGAGGCCTCTCTGTGGGCAGTAACCCACTACTGATGGGAGATGTCATTCTGTATATGTTTCTCATACTGGGTAATAATAAAGCACTGTTGGCCAATAGGAAAGGAAGATAGGAGAGACAAGGAGGAAATAGGAAGTAGTAAGGAGGAGCCAAGATGGAGAGTCTGGAGAGAGCAGTACGTGGCAGCCGGCTCCCGGTAAGAAGACCACGTGGAAATACATAGATTAACACAAATGGGTTAATACTTAAGACAGAGCTAGCCGATAAGAAATTAGTACCTGGCCAATAGCATAATATCAAATACAGAGTCTCTGTGTGTTATTTGGGGCTGGTGTGGTGGCAGGACAAGACCAGGCGGCGGGCGGAAAAACCGTACTCCTTACACACTACCATTAGCCTCATGACTAAAATGTGGATTTTCTTATTTCATAATAACAGATGCAATGATTTCTCTCTCCTTCCTTAAAAGATAGGGTTCCCTATATAGCCCAGGTTTGCCTGGATCCTCCTGTCTGGCATTATAAGAATACACCACCATAAGCAGGCACATTTGGTGATTTCTGAAATGGTCTCCTCCATGCTGCTACAGGTCGCTGCTACAGGTCTACAGTTTTGGAGAGCAAGAAGTTCAAAAGGAAAGGCAGGCCTGTGGCTGGTTTAGTTGCCTTTTTTCCTCTCCCAGGCTTGGCTTTGCACATTTTCCAACCTCCCCTCTAGGTTTGTCTACAGCTGCCAGGAAGAAATTCCTCAGCCTCACTGATTCTACAAGCATCATGGCCACTAGGGGGCAGGCAGCTCATGGCCTTGAAGCCACAGGCATCTGTCTAAAGCCCAGGAAGAGTTGGTATGAAGTCAAGTCAGATCTGCCTCCTGAAGTCATTTGTGTGTCAGGCTTGTCTATTTAAAGATACTCAAGGCCATCTTTAATCACCAGAACTTCCCAGGACTTGAGCAACTGTGGCAGGTGACACTGACACTAACTCCTGGACAGCCTTCCTGTCACTCACTGAAACCAAAGCTATAGTCTGTGCCCAGAGACTGCAGCTCATCTGCTTGCCCTTCAATAATCCTCTGGCCTCTTGGGATGACAGGCTGGTGCCCAGGAGACCAAGAATCAGAAGAACCAGAGTTCTACCTGGCAGAAGGGAGCAGCATCCATGACCCCAGCAAACCTAAGTCCACAGTGTCAAACTGTGGTCCTACTTGCTAGAGTAGCAATGTTGCCAGTGTGGTGATACTGTAGGCCTTGAGGGAGCAGCACTCGCTGTAGGACCAGTAGGACCAATGCCCCTCCCACAAGGGCTTCCAGGAGTGGGGATATAGATCAGTGCTTCCCAGAATGTGAAAGGTCCTGGGTTCAATGTCAAGCACAGGAAGATTCTGCCTACTTGTCAGAGGAGATAGCCATCTGAGAGGGCCAGAAACAGTCAGATACCACACATGTCAGCGTCAACTCTGGACTTCCTGACTTCCAAAACTGTGAGAAAAAAGATCTCTGCGTAGGAGCCAGCCAGTTTATGGTATTTTGTTTAGTAGCTGACCTAGACCAAGACAAAACATCACTTCTAATTCTGAGCAAGGTAGCCAGAAAGGAAGTCCTGGGGGCAGGTAGAGAGCCAAATAATAGTGACATAAATCCCACATGACAACACTCCCACCTACTACTGCCTACTACATACTACTCCCCAGACCCCAGCTTCACTTGGAAAGCCCTGCTTTAGTGAGTGCCCACTTGATTCTGGGCTATGCACTTGACCCACCAACATACACACCCAAGGGCAGGTTGAGACTGTTAACGGGGCTTCCACGGGGGCAGGGGTGGTTTGGTCCTCCTTCTTGTGTACTGGGAGCTGTCCTTGGAGAGTATTCTGGCTCCTCTGGGAAACCAGATTCCACTGCCAAGACATTCAGGGACTATGTGAACCAGACAAGTTTCAGGCAATATAAAGAAAGATTATCCTCACATGTCACTGGGATACTGTCATGCCTGATTGTGGCTGGCCAAAAGACTACATAGAGCAAACAGCCCATCACCTTTATAGGAGCCACACAAGAACCTTTCTCTACTCCACAGAGAGCCAAAGAATATACAGCATATAGGCCAGGTACCCACGACCAGCATCCACAGTCACTCCTACCCTCTGAGTAGCATGATTCAGCATCTCCTGCCAAGCAGAGTCAAACTGCCGTTTGTCATCCTCCAGCAACCGCTGCTCAGCCAGTGAAATGGTCTCCTTGGCAGCACGGAGCACCTCGGTGGCCCTCTGGAAGTCCTGTGTGGCTTTTTGAGCTTCCAGCTGAGCCTGTTGAGAGAGAAGGTATTGTGAGGCCCGAGGCAAAGGTCAGGAGTCTCTGGGGTCCATCACTACCACTCCCAGAGATGAGTGGCAGGTCCTTTATAATGGGACAAGGTAACAGGTGGCTGACCGCTGAGTGGAACCCAGATAAGTGAGCAGACAGTCTTCACAGTCTGGAGCTCAACAGATAAGTAAATGCATGGGTCTTACATCTGTGATGCCAGTGGCTAAGGCAGCTGTAGCCATTCTCCAATGCCCTGGCTCAGGAATGAAGCCCAGGCAGGGACAGCTGTCCTGGGCACCTTCCCTGCACATAGAACCAAAGTGCTCCAGAAACCACAGTTGTGGGCCTCCATGCTACAGAAGCATGGTAGCTGAAAACAGCCTCTCCGGAGATTCCAAAGCTGACAGAAGCAAGGCTTTAGGCAAACACCCCACATGGCTGTCAGCCCAGCATAGCCACTGTTCAATCCCTACTAACTGCAGGGACAGGCCAAGTGAGGCAGGAACTAGGCCTGGGACCTATTACCAAAACAACCCAGCTTTCAGGAGGGCATTGTTAACATAAACTGAAGCCAGCTGTCCCCAGCTACAGCAGCCCTCAGCATGTGTGATGCCTGTGTGTATATATGTGTGGATATGGGTATGAATGCATGTACATATATGTACATTCAGAGAAGCCTGAGGTTAATCTTGCAGCCTTATTCTCTTGTATCAAGGTTTCTCACTGGCCTGTTAAGCTAGGCTGGCTGGCCACTGAGCCCCAGGAATCCATTCATTCCTCCAGTGCTGGGATTACAAATCCATACCACCATGCCTGGCTTTCTTATACACGTTCTGGGGATTGAGAGCTCAGGTCCTGCTACTTGCACAATGAGCACTTTACTGGCTGAGCAATCTCAGGCCAACAAGAAGTGAATGCAAACCTCTCTTATGGCCTGGAGAGAGCTCAGTGATTAATGTGCTTTCTACACAAGCAAGAGGACTAGAGGTTCAGATTCCCAAAACTCATATAAATGCTGGGGAGGTGTGGTGGCTGCCACAGCTCAGAAATGAAGACAGTGGATCCTCGACACAAGCTGGTGAGAGAGACTAGTTGTATCTCAGAGCTCTGGGTTTGACTGAGAACCTGCCTCCAAAAATAAGGTGGACAATTGATTGAGAGGGATTTCTGATATCCACCCATACACATGCACATTCATGAGTACCTGCTTATGTATGTGCCATACATGTGAACATACAAGCACACATGTATGTACACTACACACATTCATGAAAAAAAAATACCTCATTTCAAAGGCTCAGTACAAAAAATGAGAATAATCCCATTAGCCATTTTTCTGATCAGTGATGAGATATTTGCGATACACTAGATTACCTCGGTGGATACTGGGAACTTTAAATTTGCATAGGTGACTCTCACACTACTACTTTTGGACAGTAATGCTCCTTCAAGAGTGGGCTATGTGATGTGAGTGTGCTTGCATCAGAAACAGGCCTGGGGAGATGGGTTGGTGGGAAAGGCGCTTAAGTTCAGGTCCCCAGATCCCTCATAAAGCCAGACCCAATAGCACACATCTATAATCCCAGCACTCCATAGCAAAATAGGAGATGCTAGAGACAGGACACTCCCCAGTCACACTCTCCCTGGGCTCACCTCCAATTTCTCACCAGAGCAGGGGCAGGCCACTACTACATGCTAATCTGCCACAGCTGCCCCGACCACCCCAAGTCAACAGGGTCCCTAGGCCAGTTACAGAAGCCCTGATGGGACATTAACAGGACAGCCCCTGGGACTTAGGAGGGGAACAACAGGGCCCTACCCTTCTCCATAGCAAGTCTCACATGACTTAGAGGAACCTTCACATAGCCTGAAGGTACTTTGCAAAGGAAATGAAGGGTTTTGAAAAGAAACCGAGAGTACAGAGCACAGCAGCCTGGGGTTGGGGTGGGGGTGGGGGAGAAACAGCTCAGTGACCCATGGTGACCCATGATGGCAACTCCTCCCTGGTCAACCCTGCACATACCCATAGTCCAGTTCTTAGACCAGAGATCCACTCAGGTCATTGAGACACACCTGTGGCTGAAGTGCAAAAATCTACTCTTCTAGGTTGTGCACTGGGGGCAGGGGCAGGAGAAGGGGACTTGCTTCCCATAAGAGGAAGGATTCCTAAAGAGCATTTGCTATCAGAGAGAATTTGAGGCTCTGGGGGGTATGATGGGGGGATATGGGGGATGATGCAGCACTATAGGTGATCTGTAACCCTGAAAGGGAGCACTTGTTTTGTTGGTTTGTTTTTATTGTTTTTGAGACAGGGTTTCCTTGTGTAACAGCTCTAGCTATCCTGAAACTTGCTTTGTAGACCAGGCTGGCTAGCCACACAGGGATGAGATGCCCGCCCTCTAGAACTGGCCAGTCACTGAAAATTAACTGGACGATGGACAACGTGATTCTCCCTCTCCAGCAGAGCCTCTACCCATTCTTCCTTCTCTCCAGACAGGTTCAGTAAAGGGTGACTTGTGTCTCATCCCTCCAACCTCAATCTACCCACAGTTTTACAACAGCAATGAGACACAGGGATCCATCTCCTGGAACCCTAACATTTCCTAAAATGGGATCTCTGACCCCTTCTTTCATTTGTTTATTTACTTATTTTTGAGTTACTTTCCTTTGAGGCTTTGAGGTTGGGCTCAAACTCAAGACAATCCTCCTGCCTCACCCTCCTGAAGTCTGGGATTACAAAGATGAGTCAAATCACTCTCATCTTTAAGGTCTCATTAGATAGCATCAGCTGGCCAGGAACTTGCTATGTAGACTAGGCCAGCCTTGAACTTGCCACAATCCTCTTGACTCTGTCTTCCGACTTCACCCAGTCATTTGCATTGTATAGGCAACACGTGTGAGAGCCTGAGGCTGACAATGGGTGTCTTCAATGGCTCTCTACCTTAAACAGTGAGGCAGAGCCTCTCAGTTGAACCCAGAGCTCATCAACTCAGCCAGTTTAGCTTCCCAGGTTCTTCCAGGATTCTCTGTTCAGGCTGTCTTCCACATCCACTCAACATTTATGTGGGTGACAGGGGTCCTAACTGCAGTCCTCACACTTGAATAACAGATATTTTACTCTTTAGGCCATCTCCCAAACCTGTTTGTTTATTTATTCATTCATTTATTTATTCACCTTAATTTTGAGACAGGGACTCATATGGCCCAGACCTTCCTCAAATTTGAATATGTACCTAAGAATGAACTTGAGGGCTGGAGAGGACTCAGTGGTTAAGTGCACTTACTGCTCTAGCAGATGACAAGGGGGGTTCAGCTACCAGCACTCAGGTCAAGTGCCTTACAGACTTACAGTCACCTGTGACTCCAGCTCCAGGGGCCCAGCACCCTTTACACACATACACACATAAATATAAAGGCAGAAAGAAAATCTCCAGAAGAACCTTCATGAGCTCTGGTGAACACATGGCAGGAGGCCAGGAGAGACTTCCCAGCAGATACTGTCTCTGCAGGTTCTAGGCTCCCGAATAAGTCTGCTGGGTAAGAGCTCCAGTCCATGGCATTGCAGGACAGCAGTGCCATGAAGTGGGCACTGCGTAAGGAACACCTTAGGAGGTAAAAGCAACTGTGAAACGTGGGGACTTCAGAGGTGCACATACTAGACACTACCATTCACAAAACATCCCTCTCTCCTTTGCTCTCTCTGTTTGAGACAGAGGGTCATGTAGTCTAGGAAGACCTCCAACTTACTACAAAACCAGGGTATAACTGCCTGATTCTTCTACCCCCTCTGGGATTACCACACCAAGGGCTACTCACATACACTTCCTAAAACTATATTCACGGGGCAAACAAGGCAGGCATATGAGGGAGGAACACTCTATTGCTCACTGGCCAGCAAGAAACAGAACCATGTGACTCCACATCTGTTAAATGTCTCCTGGAGACTGCTCCAGAACACAGAGGCCAGTCTCTAATTATGGGGCCCCAGGTCAGTTAGGAAAATGGGCCCATTCATAAAGAGCTCTTGTATAAAGTCAGCCTGGAACTGTGAGAGAGGTAAAGTGCCGAGAGTATGAAGAGGCCAGTTATAAAAATCTTAGGATAGATTTGACAGGTGTTGGACCCTGCGCCATGCCATTAGAATCATCCAAGAGCTACTGCCTAAATTTAAGATTCTACTTGAGAGAGCATCCTAGGTATATCAAAGAACCTCAAACAGCAGAAGCCAATTAAGCAATCCCAGAGAAAGCTGATCTAGTTCATTCATTCATCCGTCCATCCATCATCCTATGGATGGAACCCAGAAGCTCACTCCATCCATCCATCCATCTGTCCATCCATCAGATGGAACCCAGGGGCTCACACATGCCAGGCAAATGCTCTTCACCACTGTATGAAAGATGACATCTAGAGATCCTTGCCACAACTGATAAAATCCAGCCTTTGAAGCACAAAGGCCCCAGACCCTGTTATTACCACATGATCTGACTAAGGGCTTTTGGCTCTGGCTCTGAGGTGTTGCTCGAGTCATGCAGTGGTTCATTCAGCAGAGAAAACCAATGAGTAAATTGGAGAGGTGAGGCCACTGGGGCTGATGCACAGGTGAGGCCTGTGTCTAAGAGTACCACTGGGGCTGTAAGATGCACATGGAAAAGATTGAAATACCTCCATGACTCAGGAATGTTAACAGAGTTCATGGAAACAGCCAAGGGAAGAATTGAAGCATGGGAAATACGATTCACTGGACTCAGTATTGAATAAAGCGAGGTTTATTCAGGGAGAATTCACTTACACATGGAACAGATAACCACTGTGAGTTCCCACTCCAGGATGCCACCAGGATGCTCTCCATAACCAGATCAGGAAGCAAGGGAGCGAGCTGGGATCTGGGGCCCCAGACCTAGCCTTTCCCTTCACATCCACACCTGTGCCCATGCCCAAATGGGCATGGTCAGCACAACACGTGCAGGCAGGATGGCTATCTCATTACAGAGAATTTTTA